TTAGCCTCAAACCTCTTTGGAACCACAGTCTTCTGCTGGATATATTCAGCCAACTTCTGATCTCAGACACCTAATTCTTGTCCCAGCAAAAAAAGTAGTCAGAAAAGTAAGGAAGATAGACCTGCGGTGTCTGCTCTGTGAGTGACCCAGCCTGCCCAAAGTTCACCCTTGCCTCTGCCAATTCTCACTGTGTCCATCAACAATATCTACTGAGCCTGAACTCTGTGGGTCCATGATGAAATTTAAGACGAGAGGTCTTGTGTTTACAGTTTACAACCTGGGCTCGGGGACAGTGTCAGAAAGACCTCTAGAGAGAGAACGCTAGGACTGCCCACTGGCCACCAAGAATATAAGGCTGGAGAAAGGACAACTGGGGGCCCAGTGAACACTGGGCACCTGGGAGAGTGTTGGGACAGGGATCAGCAGGTGAGATATGATGACCAGCCAAAGCAAGTTACAATAATGTGCCATCTGTTCCTGGCTGGTGTGCACAGTTAGGACCTCTGGAAGCATGTGACAGGAAGGGGCCCATGTTGGCGGGGCACAATTAGAAGCAGCAAAAATTGGGACAGAGGCCCAGGAGACCCCCAGTGACCACTTCCCCTCTCTGTTGCAAGTTGGACTGAAGATTATAAAGTTCTCTACACATTATCTGGTGATAGCTGACCCTCCACTAGCTGAATGGGATAGCACTGTCACACACCATGGACATAAAAGGGAAATTTCATTGGAGCTTGCTTTGCAGAAGAACTTCAGGTACCCCTTGCCAAGCACATCAGCTCTCCTGCTGCCAGGGCAAAGTAGATGAGAGTAGAGCAGAGCTGGGGAGCTGGGGAGGTGCCCCCAATCCCAGAGGAGACCCAAGTCCCCTTGAAAGAGTAGACAGCACTGTCTGCAGGTAACAGTCCATGGCTACTTGAGGTAATCCATGGGTTCACTCCATAACATTCTTTTTAAAAATATATTTTAAAATTTGTTTTATGGGTGCATTACAATTATTCATACTAGTGGGATTCATTGTTGCATATTTGGACATGCACATAATATAATTCAGTCAATTGCATTCCCTGTATCAACTATATTCTTTCTATGATAGTTAACATGTGGAGGAGAAGCTGCTATAGGGAATATAAGAACCACCCTTTTGCCTAGGAAGTTGCCTGATACAATGCACTAATTTTTATTCAAAATCAATAACAAAATACATTTATGCAAATTTTGTTGAATATAATGAAAGTTTAAGTGTTGTGAATTGCTTCAAAAACTCAAGAAGAAAATTAGTACATCTTGGCAAACATGAGGGTTCTTGAGGGTTCTTCCTTGTTCTGATTTTTCCAAAAGACCTGGAAGGAGATTCAACCCCTAAGGGGAGCAGTAACAGGGACTTCCTGCAATATTCTCCCATTCGCTACTTGCATTTTTCCTTGCCACCACACTGTGGCGCTGTTGACGGCTGGTTCTGCCCAGTGTAGGAAGCAGTCCATGGGAAAGTTGCCGCTCACAGCTCCTCCTTGGGTTTTCTAAGCTCAGGCAAGGGACCTCCTCATTAGGCTCCCAGGGCTAAGCTCCAGGTGCTAGCCTCAGTCATCTTTCCAGCAACAGAAATCCATGGGCAACATTGAAGAACATCTTTGAAGGCATATTGCCTTCCCAAGGATGACCAAGGTGTCCTTCAGTACCTCTCTTCAGAACAGAGAAAACATAACAATATAATTTTAATCTGCAGCAAACACCCCTCCAACATAAATCATAATTTAATAACATCCTTTCTTTAGGTCAGTGCAAGCCTTTCTGATCCTTCGATCAGATGAGAGGCAGTAGGAGAAATACCAGGAGAAGGAGAAGAGAAGCTGGATAGAGTCAATTAGCATTTACTAGTTCAAGATAACTAGGCATTCAGTTTTCTCACCTATAAAAGTGAATAATGTTAACAACTACTTCAGAAGAACGCCGTGAGAATTCAAATATGATTCGCATGCATCCCTTAGCACAGTGTCATAAGTAACAATTGCAGTAATTATCATTATTTTACTACAATCTATCCCAATACCTGTAGCCATCCCTGCATTTAGAAGTTCCTCAGTAAGTCTTTAATGAATGAATATCATGCCCCTTCATGGTAATGGTCTACACCATGTGGCTCAGTTTCTGCTTTGGGACAGAGGATTTATGTTAGAGAATAAAAAAAATTCACTCACAGGTGTGTCCTACCTGTGCTTCTCTTTCTAACAGTAAAGACAGAACAGGCTAAGAAATAGTCCTGCTGTGAGGTTTCTTGCCTGAATCATTTTTCTGTATAGTTTTAGGGAAAAAATATAAAGAATATGTAAGCTAAGTTATTTTAAATGAATGTTATGAATATTGATTCAACCTGAGCAAAAATTAAGTTGAATTTATTAATAATCATTAAGATAAATTTCCAACCTGTATCAGATAAAACTTTGATAATGACATCAACTATAAAGAGATGGGGATCGTGGGAGGGAGTACAGTATGGGACACAAGTTGTTACAGAAGAGCACTTCTAGCCAATAATTTGAGCACCCTTTATGTGCCCAGCACTGAGGGACAGAGAGGATTATCCATGAAAGTGAAAGCCTAGCCCCTACCCACCCTGGTGCTCACACTGGGTGACGTCTCAGAACACACAACTTTGAAAACCCACGTCAAGAGCTGGAAAGCCAGGCTCTCAGGGTGGGAATGGGTCTGCACCTCCCCTTTGGATGGCAAGATTGAGCAAAGCAGAAAAGTGGACAGAGGCCTCCAAAACCCAAGGAGACATCAGCCAAGAAGTCAGTCAGGAATGAGCAGTGTATCAGGAGACTGTTCTGGTGGAGCCAAGAATCAGTTTGGGAGAAATTTTCTAGAACCGTCTCTTTAAAACGATGGGGAGAGGGGGAGGGATAGACTAAATTGTCTTGATGTCTCATGCATTTGCTTCCACTTAAAAGCAAGTGCAAAAAGAAACATAAAAACAAGTGCAAATGTGAGTTTCCATGATGGTTGTTTTTGTTTTTTGAAGGGTTTTTTTTTTTTTTTCCATACTAGGGATTGAACCCAGGGGTGTTTACCACTGAGCTATATCGCCAGCCCTTTTTTATTTTTTATTTTGAGAAAGCATGTTACTAAGTTGGCAAGGCTGGCCTTGAACTTTCAGTCTTCCTGCCTCAGCCTCCTGAGTCCCTGGGATTGCAGGGGTGGACAGCTGCACCAAGCCCCAGGATGCTTTGAGTCCTTGTTTATTCTGGGGGTTGTGGGAGTTGGGGCAGGGGTTCTTGTTCACCATGGAGGACAATCCTAGACTTGGGCCTGCAAAAGAACAAGGCAATAAGGTGCAGAAGACTCTTGAGAAACTGAGTTTGCCTCCCCAGCGGGGAGAGAGCTGGTCCCTCTGTCTCATGGAGAAGCCGTGCCCACTGTCCAAAGCCTCATGACACTCTGTGAGAGATGCAGCACCCACTCGCTCACTCATTCAGTAAACCCAAGAATTTCCGTAAAGACAAGATGATGTGATTAGTGCTTAGATGGCAGTTAAGGACTCTGTAGACACATACAGGAAGGGACAACAGGATCAGAGACTTCTAGAAAAAAAATGACACTTCCTTGGCTCTGATAACCACAGGTGATGGGCTTGGTGGCACTTAAACCCAACACAGACCAATTATTTCTGAAATAACAGCTTTCTAAAACCTTGGAAAGGCTACATGTAATTAAGTCCCACCCTGATGAGCCCAGCTTTCTGCCTAATCCCCTCTCGGGTATTCCATAGGTTTGTGCAGCACGTATTACATTGCCATCGGCTGGGCTAGGCTCTGGGCACGGCTCTGGGCACACAGAGGTGAAAGAATAGGCACCTCTGTAAAGTGCCATGAAGGAGAAACCCAGGATAGAGGGAGACGGCATATCCTGGCCCCAAGTGGACACAGAAAGGGATTAGTGGTTGTGTCTCTGTTGGACAGAGGGCTTCAAAAGTGCCAATGACACCTGAGTTTCTTGTAATGAAAGATGCACTTCCTTCAACAAAGAGTGATATCCTGTGGGTAACTTGTGATTGCTTCTGGGCTCCTACTGCTAATTCAATAGGCAGTTTCTGAGCCACTTTTAAATGTAAGGCCCAGGAAATAATAAATTTGATCCCCATCTTCAAAGGAAATAACATTATGGGGCATTGTTATATTTGATCTTGGCAAACAGTCTGAAAAGTGGTCGCTGGGTATTTTTATCAGTCATACACTGTAGGAGGGATTTTAGGATATATATATTTTCTCATTTGATTCTCATTTCTTACTAATCTTCTGTGAAGGATATTTTTAATGTCTCCACATATGGAAACCATGACCCAACTATTAAGGGGCAAACACAAGATTTTTAACCCAGATTTCCACCTCTGCAAAAGCCTCTGTGGCTTCCCTGCATGATGCTACAATCCCTTCTGAAGATGAGCGTGTCACAAAGAAGTCCCTAATGCAGACTTTTCCTAACTGATATTTTCACTCTTCTCCTTTTTAGAAACGTTCCCCAGGACCCTTCTGCTGAGCCGGTGCCTTCTGACAGTTTGGGCCCCTAAACAGTCTGGGGATTCCTGAGTCCAAGAAAAATAAGAACCAAGCACTAGGGGACCCCTGGCATGGAGGCTTGGAGCTAGGGCCAGTGGAAGGTGCCCATTCTGGACTGCAGAAGGAGGCAGAGCAGGCAGCTCAGCTGCCCTACCCATGGGTGCAGGGGAGAAGGGCGAGGACCCTCCGAGATCCACAGCACCATAAGCTGGATGGGAAAGGGTATCCTCTGAGCTTCTGGGAGTGGCCACACTTGTCCCAAGCAATGGATGGCGTTAGGGAGTCCCCGGAAGCCACCTGGAGGCAAAAAGAGGACCTAGTAAATCCTGGTGCTCCAGAGCTCCTGCTGCTGATGTGACTTGTCTACCGTGTCAGGACCTTGCAGACCCCACATAGGGGCCATTCGGTGAGGGTATCACTCTGGGTCCTGCTCCACGCAGCACCATGAACGATAACTTCTGCCGGGCCCTGGTGGACCGGAGGCCCATGGGGCCCCCCAGCTGCATGCAACTGGGTGTTGTGCCCCCTCCCAGGCAGGCGCCGCTGCCCCCCGCCGAGTCCTTGGGTAACGTACCCTTCCTGCTGTACCCAGGCCATGCGGAGCCACCTTACTACGACGCCTACGCGGGGGTGTTCCCCTACATGTCCTTCCCCGGAGCCTTTGGGGTCTATGACTACCCCTTCGAGCCCGCCTTCATCCAGAAGCGCAACGAGCGCGAGCGGCAGCGCGTCAAGTGCGTCAACGAAGGCTACGCGCGCCTCCGCGGCCACCTCCCGGGTGCGCTGGCCGAGAAGCGGCTCAGCAAGGTGGAGACGCTGCGCGCCGCCATCCGCTACATCAAGTACTTGCAGGAGCTGCTGAGCGCGGCCCCCGACGGGGCGGCCCCAGCCTCCGCCCGCAGCCTCCCGGGCATCGGGCCAGCTGCTCTCCAGCCGGACTGCCCCGGCGACTGCGGGGCCCGGGTGCCCCACTCCCTGGTGCCCGAGTCGACCGAGTCCTCCTGCTTCTCCTCCTCGCCCTTTCTCGAGTCGGAGGAATCCAGCCATTGATCGGACAGTGGCTGCTCCTCCACAGGCACCGTCCCATTCTGGGGAGCATCGTGCGCGCTGCTGGGTCACCCGCGGTGCCGTCATCCTCGGACCTGCCTCCCCCCTCTCTGCCTCGGCCCGCATTTGGGAAAGTTAGTTGGGGCCAGCTTGTCGCTCTGTCGTCCATACCGCAGCGCAGCCTTGTCTCTGAGAGTGCGCTGGAAGCGAGCCGATTTGAATGCGCCATGCCCCGACCCTCCGCAAGATGGCCTCAGATACTAACGACCGGTTATCACTTGGGAGAGGAACCCAGAGGGAGGGGTGGGAGGCCAGACTGCTTTTGCACTCAGCCTCGATGGAACAGCCAGACTTGGAAGGATGGGATGTGTGTGCACCACGGGTGGTGCTTTCTGGCTTCCTTGATGGAGGGCCATCACCCCGCCTCCCCAAATCCTCAGTGTAGCCTTCTCAGGTTTTCCCCAGGTTGAATGAGAACTGCATTTCCCCCTAAGACTTATAAACCTCTGGGGTCCATTAGCACTGTGTTTGCACCAAAAGGCTAATTAAATGCATTGTTGAGTTTTGTGATTCCTGGATCATTGTCTAGTCCCACCCCCATCCCCACCCCATGCCCCTTTCTCACTGGCCCACCCAGCCCAAAGGCCTTACTGCGGTGGAGGGCTGAGTTTTCTGCTAGCTCTCACAGTCCATAAACTTTTTCCAGAGATCTTAGTATATGCCAGGAGACTGTGCACAGGAGGGGCCAGAGTCCCAGAGAGAAACACCCTGGTACAGGTAGGGGTGGGAGAGAGTGGGGAAGAAAGGTAAAAAGCCAGGGTTACTACACAGTGTGCGGGTGCCATACCAGAGGTGTGCCCATTCGAGGTCGTCCTGGGAGACGTCCAGCCCAGTGAGGAGGGGTTCAATGTTTCCCTGACAAGAGGCAGGCCTGGTGGTGTTGAAGGTGGGTGGGAGGGGTCTTGGCCTGATCCCTGCAGGTCCTGCGATGGGAGTCGAATGCTGGGGAGGATCACCGAGCTAGGCTGCCTACCATTTTCTCAGGACAGTGTCCTGGGACTGGGGTGGGGAAGTCCTAGGGTTGGGGTGGGGAATCCTAATTTTGGTATGACAGGCCATTCTGAAGGGTGACACTCCATGCCCCAGGCTACCCCTTCCTAAACTCTATTGGTCCAGCCTTGAAACCTTCCATCCTGCCTCCCACTGGGCCTGCCCCATCTCAGATCTGTGTATAAATTCCTCCCTTCACCATCCTACCCTCCTGAGAGACAATCTGGGATGTCACTGGCTGGTCTCGAAGGAATGACAGCTGCCTGGCCTCAGGTTCTCAGGCCAGGCAGCAGGGAGCTGAGTGGAGGCTAATTTTACTCTCTGGGAGCAGGGAGAGAAATCCTCCACCCTCACTCCCCGCCCCTGCTTGGCTGGCTCAGCAGGACAGGCTCAGCCAGGCCCAGTCCCCAAGGCGGGGGGCATTGGGGACACAAGGAAGCAGGGAAGAGAGGGCAGTGGGGTGGGGGAGCAGGGACAGCAAGTTTGCCAGGGAAGCCATGGAGCCCTCTTCACCCCAGGATGAGGGGCCGAAGAAGAAGCAGCCCAAGAAGCCTGTTCCTGAGATTCTGCCCAGGCCACCCCGGGCCTTGTTCTGCCTGACCCTCCAGAACCCCCTGAGGAAGGCCTGTATCAGCATTGTGGAATGGAAGTATCCTTCAAGGCCTCGAGAAGTAGGGAGAGGGTGCATGATGTGGGGGAGGAGTGTGTGGTGGTCACAGAGCTCAAACTTTGAGGGTTAGAGTGATTGGGGACTTGAAATGGGGTAAACTGCCTCAGAACAACCTGAGACACCCTTGGGAAGGAAGGGCTCCACCACACTGGAGAAGAAGGCAGGAGTGGGAGGGCTTCCCACTCAGGTCCTAGATGACAGCCAGAGAGGCTATTGGCGACCCGGGGAAGTGCCTGTTTCATAGGGACTGTGCCAGCTATGCCCAAATCCATATCTTGAGACCCTACTCAGATTTTGAAATCATTGTCTCATGGTGGACTAAGATGGTGAGGGGGAGCTACAGTAGCCCCCTTGAGAAAAGCCTCACCCTCCACGAGAGGGGGAAAGAGAAGATCAGGAGTGGTTGTGGGAAGGCTTCTTCTGGGGCCCAGTCCCAGCTGGGGATGAAGCGGGGGGAGAAATGGGTTTGAAGAGAGGCCTGCTCTTGGTGCTCCAAGCCTGGCTGCTTCGGCTTAGACATACCACCCCAGGGACAGGGATTTCGAGTCCCTTTCTGCTTACATGAGCTCTGGGAGGAAGAACGCTGAAAATATCTGGACTATTTGGGGAAGGAGGAAGAAGCTGCAGAGAGGAGGGGGCCTGGGTCAAGTGGATTCCTAGGGAGAGGGTCAGGAGAATTTGAAATATTCTGAAGGGCTCTGGAAGTGTGGGCTCCCACCAGCTGTTCCTTGAAGATAGGAGCTTGAGGGACAACTGGAAGGGCAAGAGGGACATGGGGCCAAGTAGATATTTAGAGTGGGGGTCAGCCCTGCTCCCCACAGCTACAGTTGCCCAGCCACGTCAACCCTGGCCTCTCCCTCCCTGCCTGTCGGCTGTCGGAGCAGACTACTGGGCAGCTGCCTCCTTTTCTCCAACCTTCTTCCTCTGAGCCTTCTCCTTTTGCAGGCCTCTGCCCTGTGTCCCACCTAGAGAGGTGGGAACCACACACCAATGGCCCACACTGCCCCTCTTTCCCTAACTCCTCCCACACGCTTGCTTCCTAAGGTGTGAAAGTCAAGATAGGCAGGGGCCCAGGTAGACCTCTGCAAATGGCCTGGAGAGTGGGGTGGTTATTGGCGGGTGAAGCATGTGCACCCTGGTTTGCATGTCTCTGTCTTCCCTCTTTCCAGCCCCTGTTCTGTGGGGGACTTTGTCTGAACCTAGAGCAGCCCCAGCCTCTCTTGCCATTTCTCTGGATGAGCCCCCACCGGTTGTCAGGACAAAAATCTCAGAAGCCACAGCTCTTTGGGGCGAGGGGTAGGCACTGAGGGTGGAACAACCAGAAGACTCTTTAGCCCTTAAAGCTCAGTGACCCTCAGCTGGGTGCCAGCCCTTGCGTCCCTGAGAGTCTAAGTGGAACTTACCTGTTCCTGATGAGAGGATCCGGGGAACCCCACAGGAGAGTGGGGAAGGGTCCCCAGGAGCCTGTCCATCCCCCTGGCATTATAACCCCAGTTCAGGCGCTCCTTAACCCGGGCACCAGACCCTTCGAGACCATCATCTTGCTCACCATCTTTGCCAACTGTGTGGCCCTGGCTGTGTACCTGCCCATGCCTGAAGATGACAACAATACTCTGAACCTCGGCCTGGTAAGATGGCCCTCTGTCCCCTTTCCCGCAGACTGCAGTCCCAGGCAGGGTACACCCCACTGGAGGACTCTGTCCTGGTGGGAGACACCAGTGGTTCAACATCCTGCGGATGCACTTGGCCTTCCCCACCCCCTGCAGGGCAGCAGGGTAAACTGCTCATCCCAGATTCTGTGACATCATCAGCCTGCACTGAACAGGGCCTCACTATGCCCAGAGAACACTCATGACAGCCTCACAACAACCACACCGAGATTGACACCCATTTGACAGAGGTGGAAACTGAGCCTCTGTGAGGTCAGCCAGTGAGCCATGGAGGTTGGATGTAATTTCCCTTCCCTGGATATAATCCAGAAGGAATTTGCTTCCATGAGCTTGCCTAATGGGAGTGTTAGACCTAAGAATTTGAAGAAAGAGCATGCTTTAGAGTTCTATAATACCACTGTTTCTCCACCCCTCCCAATGATACAATGAACTGTCCAATTCCAGAGCTGGATGGAATTTTCCAGAATCAGGCCATCCTACCTCCTCCCACCTTACTCTGCTTTCTGCCTGTGAACGCTGAGGTTTATCTCTAAGTTGTCGCACTTTCTTACCCAAAAGTCAGCTAATAATAAAGATGGCTCACATTCTTTAAGTGTTTATCAGCTGCCTGACTCTGTGCTAAGTAGTTTATATTATTGCATTTTTAAAATATTCATAATTACTATTGTGGAGTAAGTAACATTATTAGGCTTGTTTAAAAGACAAGAAAACTATGGGCTGGGGTTGTGGCTCAGTGGTAGAGAGCCCTCACCTAGCACATGCGAGGCCCTGGGTTCAATCCTCAGCACTACATAAAAATAAATAAATAAATGAAGCTATTGTATCCAACTATGACTAAAATAAATAAATAAATATTTTTAAAAATAAATTTTAAAAAAAAAGACAAGAAAACTAGCCTAAGAACATTTAGGTACCTTGTCCAGAGTCACCCCCATCCAAGCCTTGAGGCAGGGCCTCAACCCAGATTTCTGACTTTGGGCTCTGCTCCTATAGGGGCTGTGTTGCCAAGGTGGAGACAGCAGGAGGACTTCTAGAGAAACCCTCAGGGGCTGGAGGTGGTAAAGTGATAAAGCCTCACCTCACAAGGGTGGGGCCCTGGGTCCCAGGAAGCTGCCATCTCAACCTGGTGTTTCCCTGCACCGAAACTGTAGGGGACAGGAGGGAGGGGCCCATTAGCCTGCATCCTCAGTTTCTCTCTGCCTCTCCTCCTGCTGGTTTCCATGGGAACCTATCTTGAGTTGGGGAGAGGCTGGGATTCTAAATATGTGCTTTCTGTGAGTAGAAAAAACCGAGCTCTTGAAGGTGGAAGAAGAACAGGATTAAAGGAGGCAGGGCCTGTGCAACCTCAGTGGGCGGGGAAGGTCTTTGGTGCAGCCAGGTCCTTCTACAAGGTAGACTTAGTTCTCTGTGTGTCTGAATTAAGCAGGGCTCTGGGTCCACCATCCCCTTGGGAAGTCATACTTTTGGGCCTCAGTTCCATGTGCACTGCTTAAGAAGTTGACTGCTTTTGCAAGAAATTCTGCTCTCCCCAGAGAATGTCAAATTGCACCCTAATGGTTATGTCATCTCCCATCTTGAAACACCATGAGTTAGGTGTACAGCTCATAGAAACA